TATGATATATATATATATATATATACATATATATTATTATACATATATATATATATACATATATACATATATATATATATATACATATAATATATATACATATATATATATAAACATATATATATAATATACAATATATATATACATAATATATATATACATATATATATATATATATATATATACATATACATACATATATATACATATATATACATATATCAATTTATATATATAATATATATATATATATGTATATATATATATATATATGTATATATATGTTATATAATATATATATATATATATATATATTATTGTATATATTATATATATATATATATTATATATATGTATATATATATATATATATATATTAATGTATATATATATATATATATATATATATGTATATATATTATATATATAATTATATGCATATTATATATATATATATTATATATAATATATTATATAATATATATATATATATGTATATGATATATATATAATAAAACACATAATAAATATGTATCTAAGTATCTATATCTATATAAATCTATTTATATCTATATTTAGCTATATCTATCTATATCTATATCTGGCTATATCTATCTATATCTACATCACAACACCACACACACACGCACACGCAACACACACACACACACACTGAGTTGTGTGGCATGAGTATGAATATGATGTATGAATATGAACAGCATTATCTTGAACAAAACTGTGCTATATCTATTGAATGATAAGAAATCTATGAACATAATTATGTTTTTAAGGAAGGAAACAAACAAAATATATTTTAGAAACTTAACTAGCAGATCACACAAAGTGGTATAATAGCATTCTCCATATTGCTAAATTCCAACACTTGTTAAAAATATACAAAAAACTAAAACAAAACAAAACAAAAATCAAAATCAAGGAATGAGGTCTGGTGGGGTAAACGAGTTGGGAGCAGACTGGGTGGGTGGGTGGGGGTAAAATGTCAAGGTCAAGGGTCAACTAGCAAAGCTATTATTACCACAGCACTGCACACTACAAGCACTCCTCACAAAAAAGCTCCCTCTCCCTATTGCATACTAGGAAGTTGGCAACCTCATTGCAAAAACATAAAAACAAAAACAAAACAAGGTTAGTTAATTTGGTGTTAAAAGTCCCAGCGCACAACAAAGGGGGAACAAGGTTGGAGAGGAGGAGCGAGGAGAAACTGCATAGAATGTAGTTACCTGGATTTCATGGAGGAAAAAATGAATAAAACACAAATTAAGGGATAAATGGGGAGGGAGGGCTGGGGGCAGGAAGACCTTATAATAATGATAACCTGAGGTTCATTATTAGTTAGCCGAAGTGAAGGGAAGTCAGGTTATTTGCATGGGTAATGAAGTCTTGTTAGTGATATTCTTGAGAGTAATAATGACTTTAAGTGTATTTTATAACCCACTGAAGCTAGAAATGCTCCAAAATAATAATGATAATAATAATAATAATAATATAATAATAACAATAATAATAAAATGAACATTTTAAATGAAAAGAAAAAAGAATATAAATATAATAAATGTTAGTGTTGGAATTCAGTAATAATTTCTCTTTTCTTTTTTTAAAGAAAATATAAAAAAAATGTTCATTCATTATAATAATAATCAAAATAAAAAAGAGATCCTCTATGCATCATCCAAAATATACATATAAATATAACTCAGAAGAAGAGAAAGACATAAGTAGAAGAAATAGAAAGAGGAGGAGGAGGAGGAGGAGGAAGAGGAAGAGGAGGAGCAGCAGGAGGAGATGGAGGTTCAAAGAAAAGAGAGATCCTCTATGCATCATCCAAAATATACATATAAATATAACTCAGAAGAAGAGAAAGCATAAGTAGAAGAAATAGAAAGAGGAGAGGAGGAGGAGGAGGAGGAGGAAGAAGGAAGAGGAGGAGCAGCAGGAGGAGATGGAGGTTCAAAGAAAAGAGAGGGGGGACGGGAGGAATAATAACAATAAATAAATAAATAAATAAATAAATAAATAAATAAACAAATAAGCAATAAATCAACAACAAGGAAAGGGGAAAAAAAAAGGAAAAGATGATGTATTATCAAAAGAAAAAAAAAAAAACATACTTGAAACACGGGGCCCGTGCTGCGCGGAGGGTTCAGCAGTTGTTTGGCCAATTGGGAGTTTCCGTAGTTTGTGCCGCTACTTCCCATCTACAATACATGGCATCCAACTCAGTCTACAAGCAAGGCTACACTACTGAGGTTGGCCTGTACACGTCAGTTGTGAAAAATTTATCACAGATTTTCACTTTACTTCCTATTTTGTTTTTAAACCCTTCAAATGTTTACTTTCTCTTACTTTCTTTATATTTCCTGATACTTTCCCTCCTATGAACACAAATATAAATAATCTTTTAATACAGGTAGTCCATGCTTGACATCTGTCTAGCATTCCTAAAATGAAGGAGAAATGGAGATATCTAGGAATTTGACCTTTAATTAGCGCATCTATGTTGCCTACGTGTATAAATATGCATGTAAATATAACATACAAACATTGCCAGAGGCATGACCAATAAAACTTTACAAACGTATTAATGGATATATTCGTCTAACTTCTTTATAGTAAATTAAAGTATAAAGGTTCCCTCCCCTCCTTTTTTAATTTCTGCTAGTAATTTCCCCCTGCAACGGCTGCTCAAATTGCAATATTTCTGGTGCAATGCTATCTTGTATCACAATTACAGAAGGAGAAGGTGGTTGTGTGTGTGGGTGTGGTGGGGAGAGGGTTAAGATGAGTTATATGATGGTGATGACATGTTAAAATAAGCAAGGACTACCTGCACAATAACCCGAAGAAAGCTTCCTTTCTTTTTTCCTCTCCAACCTTCAAAGAGTCAAAACTGTCAGCGTAAATAAATATTTCACAACTGAGGATGTCAAATGATAATATCAAAGGGGTGGGGTTGGGAACAGGTAAGGGTAAATAAAGGGGTATGCCATGGCAGGGGGTTGGGCCAGGGGAGATATATAGGGTTGAATTATTGCATACAAGCAAATACTGAAAGCAAAATCAAGAAAGGACAAATAAGTAGGCCTATTTCATCATCAATGTAATGGAAAGTAAACTCAGAAAAAAGTTATTATGTCACAGCTGGTAATATAAGCAGGCAACAGCTTTGCTCACACATGCAATGCAGAACTCCCAAGAAGTTGAATTCTGGAGCTTCATTATTTTAATATCTTAGTCTGAGAAAACAACAGCTACTAAGAACACTGCAGCCCTCATGAGTGAACAAAGCTTGGTATTATTCAACATAGACTAACTTGGATGGATGGTCAAGGGAGGAATGAGGTGGGAGGAAGGGGACAAAGGTGGGAGGAAGGGACAAAGGTGGGAGGAAGGAGAGGCAAGGTTGGAGGAGGGTGGAGGGAGGACAGAGGTGGGAGGAGGGTGGAGGGACAAAAATGGGGAGGAGGGTGGAGGGTGGAGGGACAAAAAGGTGGGGAGGAGGGTGGAGGGATGAAAGAGGTGGGGAGGAGGGTGGAGGGATGAAGAGGTGGGGAGGAGCGGTGGAGGGACGAAAGAGGTGGGGAGGAGGGTGGAGGGACGAAAGAGGGGGGAGGAGGGTGGAGGGATGAAAGAGGTGGGGAGGAGGTGGAGGGATGAAAGGGTGAGGAGGAGGGGTGGAGGGATGAAAAGGGTGGGGAGGAAGGTGAAGGGATGAAAGGGTGGGGAGGAAGGTGGAGGGATGAAAGAGGTGGGAGGAGGAGGGAGGAGGGTGGGAGGGACAAAGGGAGGAGAGGTGGGGAGGGAGGGTGGAGGGTGGAGAGGGAGGTGGGAGGAGGGAGGAAAGAGGTGGGAGGAGGGAGGAAAGAGGTGGTGGGAGAGGGGAGGAAAGAGGTGGGAGGGTGGGAGGAGGAGGAAAGAGGTAGGAGGTGGAGGAGGGAGGAAAGAGGTGGGAGATGGGAGGAGGGAGGAAAGAGGTGGGAAGGTGGAGGAGGAGGAAAGAGGTGGAGGTGGGAGGAGGGAGGAGGTGGGAGGTGGGAGGAGGGAGGGAGGAGGGAGGAGGGAGGAGGTGGGAGTGGGAGGTGGGAGATGATAGGTGGGAGGTGGGAGGAGGAAGGAGGAAAGAGGTGGGAGGTGGAGGAGGGAGGAGGAGGAAAGAGGTGGGAGGAGGGAGGAAAAGGTGGGAGGTGGGAGGAAGGGAGGAAAGAGGTGGGAGATGGGAGGAGGGAGGTGGGAGATGGGAAGAGGGAGGAAAGAGGTGGGAGATGGGAAGAGGGAGGAAAGAGGTGGGAGATGGGAAGAGGGAGGAAAGAGGAACAAGGAACTGGATGATGTAGGAGAAAAGGGTGCAATTTGGATTGAAAGAAATGTCCTAAAAAAAAATGCAGTTAATCTTACACATAGTTTGAAAAAGAGGAGATGGGGAGGGTCAGCAAGCTTTCAAATGGATCAATGAAGCAAGCAATGTAATGTAAAATATACACAACATATTGAAGATCACATCTTAGCAAAAAGTACTTTGTTAATCAAAATAAATAAACAGTATCAATAATGAAATAAATATATGTAAAGGAACAAAGAAGGAGAAATAATCAACAATCTTAAAAAACACAAGACTCAAGGCTATAAAGAAAGGGGGGAGGGTTAGTCTCTGGCACTGGCATAGGGGATTTGAACCTACCGGAAACTGGTCTTGCTGGTAACCCGGCTGCCCAGGCGCATAGCCCGGCCTCTGGTAGCTCCCCGGCTGCTGGTAGCCCCCCTGGTAGTTGCCTTGATGGTTGGGGGGCCCCGGAGGCTGGTAGCCCCGGCCATCTGGAGGGTAGCCAGAGTTATGGTATCCCCCCTGGCTGTAGTTCCCTTGCATCCCCTGGTAGCTGTGGTATTGTCCCCCTTGGTAACCCTGATAACCTGTGGGTGGAGGGGGGTGGTTATGCCGGGGCTGTGGGCTCGCGACCCCAGGAAAGGGGGTCTCAACACAAGGAGGGGTGGGGGGAGGGAGCTGAGCCACTGGCTTGCGTTTCATTTCTTCGTCCAACATAAAGAAACAAAAATATTCTCAGAAGTCAAATGAGAAGCTAAAAGGTAACTGATATGGTCCTCCAGATGAACAAACCTAAGATATTTTTCTGTTACTTAAACTTAAGCCAGTGAGCCAAAAAATTATGAATAAGCAATGCTCTAAGAAAAATATTGTGTAAAAAGAAAGAAGGGAAGAAAGAAAAAAGTGAAAATTAACAAAGCTATATGTGCATTCAAGCAACATAATAAACAAAAAGAATGCATATATGGATATACATATACATGTATACATTTATATATAAACATACATATACATGTGTATGTGTATGTATGTATGTATATATATATACATATATAAAAAATATATATATACATATATATACAAATATATATATACATATATATACATATATATATATATATATATATATATATATACATATACATACATATATATATATATATATAATACTAATATATATTATAAATATATATTATATATAATATATATAATATATTATATATATACATATAATATACACATATACATACATATATATATACATATAATATATACATATATAATATACATACATATATATACATATATATACTCATATATAATAATACATATATCATATCATATAATATTAAATACTACATATATATATACATATATAAATATTACCATATACGATATATATCATATATTATTACATACTATATTATATAGTATTACATAATTCGTATTTATATACCTATATACATATACATATTCATATCTATTACATATTAAATATACTACATAATAAATTATATAATACATATATATTTTACTATTTACATATATTATATATAACATATATGAGCAAGTATATTATACATATACATTATATATATATATATATAACATTACATATATATAAGACTATTTACACTATATTATACTTACATTATATATTTATATAATACGCAGGGTATATAATAGGCTACAATTATATATACTTATACATTACAATATACATACTATTATATATACATTATTACATATTATATAAGGTATACTTGTACATATATAACTATATATTTATAGATATTTATACTACTATATATACATATACATATATAAATCATACATTATACTATAGTATATATTTTACATATACGCATATATATATCTTTACCATATATACTCTACATATATAATTTAGGGAATATACAAATATTATATTTATTACCTATAATATATTTTATACATATACATATATAGCTATATAACTATACTACCATATATATATATATACATTTACCACTATTTAATATATAAAACACATATATTACTACTCATAATACATAACAATATATATATCGCCGGTACATACATATATATAAGTATATACATAACAATATTTATATATAAACTACGTATATAGTTATAAGGCTATACTACATATAGGCCCGTATATACCTACATACATATAATACATTACTTAATCAATATTCATATATATATTAATTCCTACATACATTAATAAGGGTAGGTACGAGGTACATTAGGTGATATCTCACACCTACATATATATATCCGCATAGATAATATATATAGACTACGTATATATAGTTAGAACTCTATAAGTAATACATAACTTATATGACTATAGAAATATATATTACTAATATAATACATATGACATATATATAATATATTATATATTTAGTGAACCATATACATATATCTATATAGGCTACAGAACAATAATAGTGAAAGGTATGAGTACATTATATATACATATATTATATACATTATGAGTAAATAACATAAGTGATATGTATTACATATACTATATAATATATACATTCCATATATATATATACTACATATATATATATACTTGGTCCATATATATAAGTTATTCTCTATACCATATATATAATATATAGGTCATATATATACATATATACTAGTACATTATATATTCATATAATATATAGTATAATAATAACGATACATTATATAGTTAGCATATAGTAGCAGGAAATTATTTATATTCATAGTGATGAGATATATTATTTGCAGTATAATATATTGTTACCTTATGTACATATATATTATATTTTATACATAAATATATTTCATATATATATACATCATATATCGTATATATATTTATATCATATATATAATATAGTTTTTACATATTATATATATACATATATATATATCATACATATATATATTGTCATATATTACTATATACCATCCTATATATATAATTCATATAGTGGCAATTATTACAAACCTACATATATTAATGACATACATACTATTAACATTACATATATATTACAATTATACATATATTCATTTATATTAATATTCATTTATATATATACATTTATTATATTACATATATATATACATATATATATACATATATTATATACATATAGTGAGTATATACATATATATAGTATTAACATACATATTATATAACACTAATATATTAGTACATATATATATATACATACATTATATATAACATATTATACTATACTCACATACTATATATCATTATATATAGCATAATCATATATAATATCATATATTATACATTTTATCATACATATATATATACATATATACATATTTATACATACATATATATACTTATATATTTATATACATACATATATATAAGAGTGAGTATATATATATACCCCACATATATATATATTACCAACATATATAGTATATGATTTATATATATTTATAGGTATCGAGTAGTGAGGTATATAGTATACATATATATATATGTAAATGATATAAGTGATACTGCTATTATATAT